GAAAAGAATGCAAGGGCTTCGCTACAGAATCCAACCCGTACATGGAGTCTTCTTTTTCCACTCTCGAAGGAGCTTTAATGTTGAAACGTGTAGAATATAGTGCAATTAAAAAGCAATTTCGATCTAAACGAGAGTAGGCTAATAGTTAAAAGTTGTGTCAAGCTCTTTTGTATGAAAGGAGCAACCTCTATCCGTGCACGGATAGCGAAAATTGAAAATAACCCGATGCAATTACGCCATAATCAAAGTCTGAAATGAACGGGAATGAAAGCCGTTACATGCATAAAAGTGTTAGTTAGAACCTAGTTTTCCATTCACTTGCGACGCTTATTCAATTATGAAACTCGATACAAAACTTTTGCCCGCAGAAAACACGCCACTAAATTGATCACTTTATGAAGATTGAAACATTTTTGAACAGAAATTATGACACACTCTGGGATTATTTATTAAAATAGCACATTGTAAGGGTGTTTTTGTTTCGTATTTGAAATTCCGAACGCCGCCCATATTTTTTGCACTTTTTTCTTCCATCGCGAACTGTGGCCATCAATCACATTTTTGAACAGGAAAATTATACGGTTACAAAATAAAAGACTATGCGATTGTGCTCAGGATACCTATAAAACCAAAGGAATAAAATATTTTGTTGACTTTACTGTCTTTTATAGCTCGAGAGTTATTTGAAAATTTATACTTGCCTCATTTGTATACAGTACATCTCGCGCCCCATGTCGACACTGACCAAAAGTACTTATTTCCTTGCTTCTTTAACTTATCTTTTATGTTTATCTTATTCAACGCGATACGTGTTTGCTAAATCTGAGTAAGACAAAAGGACCGTGTTTTGTTATTTTTCCAACTTTGATTCATTAAGTAATAGTGCGTAAGTTTGGAGATGTAAAATATGAAAGGAAATCCACCAACCCACGGCGGTAAAAGGATTACATTTTCGGAAATGCTATTTCCAAACGGTAGTCTGTAAACAGTGGAGCCTTTATTTTCCCATTAAACTAAAGTAAATATCAACCTTCAATGACAGCTGACAAGCACCAGCACCTGTAAAAGCTTAATCCCGCATCCTTTACTAATATACGCACTTTTAGTGAATGTTGCGCTGTCACTCCTAACGCCAGATATTTAATGTTGATCGGTATATTAAAGGGTGTTTTGCTCTGCTGGGATTTTCTTCAGGGTACTCCAACTGCATAAATGCAATATTGAGCCTAGTTCCTGTTGTAAGGTATAAAAGGACCAACTATTTCTCTGTACGGAAAATAACCAACTATATAGGTATCTTTTAGTGACTGTAGCAAATTGTACTTTTCTACATTGTGCATTAGGCGGCCCATCCTCAGAGCTGGGCAGTATTCGATTTTGTAAATACTTTTTAGTATTCAAATCCTTTAAAGTATTCAAATACTTTATAATTAAATACTTTTACGGAAGCAGTATTTGTACTTGTAACTCAAATAGTTTCACAAAAGTTTTAGTATTCGAATACTTCGTAAAGTATTTGAATACTTTGAGAAGTATTCGAATACTTCGCATAGTATTTGAATACTTAACCTTCCTTTTTTTACCAAAAATTGATTACTCCAAAATTTCTCGGGAAAACACTTTTTCTTATTAATTTTGGTGCGTAGAATCCAAAACAATTCGTACTTTTTCGATCAGACTTCTCATTCAAAAGTTATAGACTAGAAACCAATTTCGAAAGAAAATTCAAAGGGCTGTAACTTTTGAACTAGTAGCCCAATCTTGGGACTGTTTGAAATTATGGATTCTACAGGCCACATTCTATAAGAAAATTTGTTTTCCGGGTCGATCTGAGACAATTTTTTTTGCGGGCCTCAAAAAAAGGCAGTGTATAACCTTCCTTTTTTACCAAAAATCGACTGCACCAAAATTTCTCGGGAAAACACTTTTTCTTATTAATTTTGGTGCGTAGAATCCAAAACAATTCGTACTTTTTCGATCAGACTTCTCAATCAAAAGTTATAGACTAGAAACCAATTTCGAAAAAAATTCAAAGGGCTGTAACTTTTGAACTAGTAGCCCAATCTTGGAACTGTTTGAAATTATGGATTCTACAGGCCACATTCTATAAGAAAATTTTTTTTCCGGGTCGATCTGAGACAATTTTTTTTTCGGGCCTCAAAAAAAGGCAGTGTATAACCTTCCTTTTTTACCAAAAATCGACTACACCAAAATTTCTCGGGAAAACACTTTTTCTTATTAATTTTGGTGCGTAGAATCCAAAACAATTCGTACTTTTTCGATCAGACTTCTCAATCAAAAGTTATAGACTAGAAACCAATTTCGAAAAAAAATTCAAAGGGCTGTAACTTTTGAACTAGTAGCCCAATCTTGGAACTGTTTGAAATTATGGATTCTACAGGCCACATTCTATAAGAAAATTTTTTTTCCGGGTCGATCTGAGACAATTTTTTTTTCGGGGCTCAAAAAAAGGCAGTGTATAACCTTCCTTTTTTACCAAAAATCGACTGCACCAAAATTTCTCGGGAAAACACTTTTTCTTATTAATTTTGGTGCGTAGAATCCAAAACAATTCGTACTTTTTCGATCAGACTTCTCAATCAAAAGTTATAGACTAGAAACCAATTTCGAAAGAAAATTCAAAGGGCTGTAACTTTTGAACTAGTAGCCCAATCTTGGAACTGTTTGAAATTATGGATTCTACAGGCCACATTCTATAAGAAAATTTTTTTCCGGGTCGATCTGAGACAATTTTTTTTTCGAGGGCCTCAAAAAAAGGCAGTGTACAACCTTCCTTTTTTACCAAAAATCGACTGCACCAAAATTTCTCGGGAAAACACTTTTTCTTATTAATTTTGGTGCGTAGAATCCAAAACAATTCGTACTTTTTCGATCAGACTTCTCAATCAAAAGTTATAGACTAGAAACCAATTTCGAAAGAAAATTCAAAGGGCTGTAACTTTTGAACTAGTAGCCCAATCTTGGAACTGTTTGAAATTATGGATTCTACAGGCCACATTCTATAAGAAAAATTTTTTTCCGGGTCGATCTGAGACAATTTTTTTTGAGTGCCTCAAAAAAAGGCAGTGTACAACCTTCCTTTTTTTACCAAAAATCGACTGCACCAAAATTTCTCGGGAAAACACCTTTTCATATTAATTTTGGTGCGTAGAATCCAAAACAATTCGTACGTTTTCGATTAGACCTCTCAATAAAAAGTTATGGACAAAAAACAAATATCGAAAAAAATTCAAAGGGCTGTAACTTTTGATCTAGTAGCCCAATCTTCAAACTGTTTGAAATTATGGACTCTCGATCGATCTCCATCTCAGACAATTTTTTTTCCGGCCTCAAATAAAGACAGTACTTTTAAGTTATTCAAATATTTGAGAACAATTTGGAAATGTTTAGGGAAAGTTTCCATTGTCACAAAATCAAATATAAAAATCCGATACATCTGAATACCGAACTCGATAGTCTACGTAACTTAAAAACAATAGGGACCTTTCTTATATCCTTAAAACCATGTGTACCAATTTTCAAAGCGATGGCACGTTTCTAAACAAGTTATCATGCACACGGACAAACGGATGGTCAAAAATGGATCTGATCCAAAATCGCTAGGATTAATTTCAGAAAGGCGTACGTATCATGTGCACGACGTACGATCGCTTTGAAAACTGGTACACGTATTCTTAAGGATATAACTGGTATAAGAAAGGTCCTGGTAGGTACCTCCTATATAATAATATAATAATAATAATACGCTTTTACTCCCCTTAAATTTGTATATAACAATAGAAATATAAAAAAAGCTAACCCCATACAAAGTATAACTTGATTTTTTAAGTAGTATTAAGCCTTTTATCTAGTATACTATTTTAAATTTTTAATGTATTTGAGTGACAAGTATTTGAATACTTTTTACTGTATTCGAATACTTTTCAAAGTATAATGAAATACTTTTCAAAGTATTCGAATACTTTTTATAGTATTAGAATACTTTTGAAAGTATTCGAATACATTCTAAAGTATTTGAATACTTTTCAATGTATCTGTATCTACTATTCGCTTGTGCTGGACGTAAAAGTATTTAGTATTCAAATACTTTTTGAAAGTATTCTGCCCAGCTCTGCACTATACTATATCTGCTTAATTTCTTCCTCAAGTAACCATATATACACCAAGATGAAGTAGCAGGGGTGGCAGGTATTTTTCTAGGGTGGGCTTAAGAAAGTATTAATCTATCAATAATTTTTTATTGTTCAGTTTTATTTTTCTACCAAAATGATCTACATAATTACACTTACTTCGTTTAATGCGAAGAATACCTAAGGATGTAACACTATTTAAAATATGTTTGTCTCCTTATTTAATTTTTTTTCAGCTCGGTTTACAGAGTTTACAAACCACATAGAAGCGAACCTTTCTCTGCTTCAAAAATCCAATTTTTTAAAGAAAATTTCTACATAATAATATGTCTATTGTGGGCTCGATTGTGATGGTTGGAATTGTCATATTTGTGGTACCTACCTACATTAAATATTTTTGTTAAGTATCTTGTTTGGTTTTGTTTATAGAGTCCACACATCCACTCTTTAAATGCCCATAAGTATTTTATATACAAATATTATAATATATTATTTCCAATTTTTAAAAATACAAAGTTTTGCATAAGCATTCGTCTGTTATGGGTGCGAAAATGTTTGTAGTACATCGAATATGGTTGTCTAATTGCAATTTCTATGCAGTTTGTTGAGTAGGGTATATTTACATTTCGTATTTCGCACAACAGGAATTAGTAAAAACCGTATTTTCCGGGTCGTGGGACACTCTTTACACATAAATTCCATTAAGTACATTTTGCTCATTAAATACAATTGAATCTAATTAAATTCCGCTAAATAGCCAATAGTTATTTATTATATAAGACGTAAAATGAATATTTTAACCATTGAGTGGAAGATTTTTTTAAATTACTTATCTATTTTTGCAGGTGTCATGGCGTTGGGTACAGATGAATTTATTTCTGCATTTCATTCGCTGGATGGAGTTACGATTGCCGAAAGGAAGAAACGCTTATTCAAACTTCTATATCAAAATCGCAATTCCGCCATCGATTTGGGCGCGATTCGCCCATCCACAGCTTTAGAAGAGACCTTCCAAGCGGACGCGGTAATTTTTTTCAAAAATCACGCCGAGATGTTGAAATTACTTAACAATGAAAACGCGGCTGTGATAGGAAAGGTCTTAAAAGATGTTCGGTTTATAAGATATATTTGTGAAAATGTAACCGGGGAGAGTTTAGTAACCGAAATTTTCCCGAATATCTCCTACAACGCAAAGCTTAAATTGTTAAGCAGATTAGCTGTGGTTCTAGAGCACCCGGCGAAAGGGGACGAATATTTTCATTGCGTTATGGAAGCTTACGGATTATATTTCGCGGCGAAATTACTTCCTAGTTGCAGTGAGGATTTGATTTTGAAAACCTTGGAGATGAACAAAGTGGAGCTGACACCTAAGCAACTACTACTCACAATCCAAAGGAATCCATCCCAAACTTTAACCATCCTCGAAAAACTGCGCAACCCTAACGTTAATCTGGGCGAAAAGTACGCGTATGTTTTCCGTTACCTCATGAAGAGCAACCCCTCGATTGTGATCGAATTGGGCGACAAGTGCACGCAACGTTTCAGATTGGGAAAACGGGCAACTCGCCGGTTTTTGTTCTCCAACAAAGCACTCTTTGTGGAACACGCGGGAAAGTTACACAGTTTGCTGGTCGAGGATGAAATCGGCAGGTGTCTCCCCAAAGAAATGGCCGGGGTACTATCGAGCTTGCTACCGAAATCGCTCAAAGACTTCTGGAATAATTTGGACGAACTTTTGTCTTTACTGGATCCTCTTTCGTCGAATGGGGAGAAGCTCGACGTTTTAATGCACGCGTTCGAGGAGCGTTACGGCGCAGACTTGCTGAGTTTCTCGGAGTTGCTAGTGCCGAAGGTTTTCCAGTGGATGTCTCCAGATTTCAAGAGGAGCTGGATGCAGACGCACGGCAAACCCAAGGGGCTCTCCGAGGAGATGTGGGTTAGTTTCATGAACTGCGACGAATCCATTGGTCTACTGAAGAAGAAGCTTTCTTGTGCTTCCAACATGAAGGACCGCGCGAAACTCGTCACCGCCTTGGTGCGCACTTGTAAAGTTAACAGTGATTTGGTCGCATTGGTTGATGTTTGCGAGTATGTCGCGAGCAAACACAAAAATGACCACGTTAGTGTTAAGCAGGCCTTCTTTGAGATTTTGCATCAGGAGTTCAAGTTGGAAACACTAGGTGAAGAGCACTGGAAACCTCTAAGGCAGTTGATTCAAGCGTGTGGTGTTAATTACGCATCGAGCATGATGGCTGAGAAGTTTATTATCGCACTTGTGCATTTTAGTTTGCGAAACGATCAGCCAATCGGCGAGCATTTGAAGTTGTACGTGAAAATTAGTTACGGTCGCTATAACTTGTTGTGCTTCAATCCGGAGTACGAAAAACGCTGTTTGAATACGTTTTACGAGGTTATTCCTTCGTGTTTTAAAGACGAAGAGCTAAAAGATCACTACGTCTACTTCCTTCATTGCATTTACCAGTGGAACGTTCGCCATCCAAGGGCCAGGATGTCGGTCTTCTCACTTAAAGCTGCTCTTGACGCACTGATGGCAACGTTACAAGAGATCGATTATTATTCGACATCCATCCAAGTTGCAATTGACTGTGTGCTTAACGAATATGATAAGGCTTGCGAGGTGAATCTGGTTGAGCTGCTTTTCACCAAAAGTCATATTTTACCTCAGCTGACGAGAGTGATTAAGTGTTATCCATCGAGCATGTTTGAGCGCTTGGAATCGTTCACTCAAAATATGTTTAAGTGCTACACCTCACTCAATGCCTTGAAGCATTTGTTTGGAAATGTCGCTGACTCAAACCTGCGCCTGAAGATCGCCGAGCTTTGCAAGGAAGAGATTGACAACCCAACTGAAGGTGACGATGGCAGACGCTTCGCCATGTACATCTTGTCATTCGTCTCAACGAGCGAAGATTTCGTGATGTTTGCCGAGCAATTCTTCCCCAAGGAACCCGTTGCGAACCTCGAGAATCCCAACTACAACCTTCAACAGGCAATACCGTCATGTTTTCGATATTTCAACCACGCACTGAGCGGTTTTGATCCCATTTTACGTTTCTGCCAAGGCGATTACATGCAATTCGCGCAAAAATCCTTGTATCACATAGCGCACAACACGGCAGAGCGCAGACTCCCCAGTTTTCTCAACAAATTAGGCGAACGAGCGGTTTCGGTTCGGAAACATTCCGTTTACCTCTCACTCAAATTATTGAGCAAATCCTCGACTAAGAGTGTCTTGGGTCGTCTAACGAATAGCGAGAAGAATGCCTCAATTCGCAAATCCCTGCTGCAATCCGTCCTCAATAACTTTTTACGAAATCCAGACGCCCACATGTGGGAATTGGTGCAACAACTAATGAAGATGATTGATGCCGATGACGTGGATGCCTTTAAAATACCAATAGTACGGCTGAAGAGGGTTTCAAAGCAGTCTTACTCTGACTACATTTCATTCGCGTGGAAGTCCTTGGACAGACTAGCCTCAGCCGACGTCATCGAGGAAAACCGATGCAAAATACTCGCCGCAATCTGTTCGGAGTCCATCGCGCTTTTACCCGAAGAATTCTGCATGGATTTGATCCGCGCACATCTCTTTACTGGACACCTGCAAGAACGAATGTGCTCATTCGCCTCGAGCTACCTACTGAACTCGAATCGGGACAATCTACCCAAAATTTTCGGGATAATTCGACACAACCTGTCAGTCTACCCGAAAATCACTCACACTTTGATTTCTGAACTCTGCACTTCGTTCATCAACTGCAAGTTTGCCAACGACGCCGTTTTCATCGAGTTCGTTAAGTTATGGGACAATTCCGTCAAGCCCTTCGAGGCCCTACCCGAACACATTCGCCTACACTTCACGTTAATACTCCTCAATTCCCGCAACCGATCACCCGTACAGGTTGGCAGTGCAATTTCCAAATTTTACCTCGAACTGCACGATGAAGACTGCGGAGACCTCGACCAGATGAAGAAATGTTTTCGAGAAGAGTTCAAGGACCATTTGCTCTCCCATTTGTGTGGAAGCGACGAAGAGAATCATATGATCATTGTTGAAAACGTTGTAAATTATCAAGAGGGGCCGCTGTGCTTGGCTTTGGGGTTATCGCTGTTACCTGACGAAGTGCTACCGCTTCCCAAAGTTCAGAAGATCTACAATGCGGTCATTGAAAAGTCGACCAAGTGTTCTAATCCATGCGTTCAGATTGCGTTACGAAAACATTTAATTAATAAAGAATAAGTTTTTCCTTTACGTTACAGACCATCGGCGGCCATTTACATCGAGTTATCCGCCAATTTCGACCTACTTTGGAATTTTAAAATCGGCATGGGATGGGATTCACTGATATTATGTATTAGAATTAGTGGCTACTATAAAGTGATAACACTGGCAATTTGTTATTTTTTACAATAAAATGTATACAAGAAGCGTCTAATATTTTCTTATTTTTGCTATTACTATATTAAGCTAAAATATCAGTAAAGGATTATGTTGGACAATTCGTGTCCGAATAATTCGCACTTAATAAAGTATGGTCCAAAATCTCGAACCTTTCGTAGCGCAACGAAATGTTTTGCACCTTGGACCCTAACGCTTTGCTGGTAACTGTTTATTTAAATGCGAGCACTTTAATCCGATTGTGTAATGACCGGTAAATATTCACGTATGTATTAAAGTACCTATTTATTCGCACAGTTGAACATAAATCCGTCGTCCATTAGTTTTTGCTACGCAATGAAGTTCTGTTTCGGCCCAAACCAGTAACGTATTATTAATTTACTTACAATGGCAACTCGTACAAAATTTAGAAGGCACCCACGTCAATAAACTCGCAAAAATGGCGGCACCGTTTCGCTAGTAATTCAGTAATTCAACTTTCGCACTAAAATATAACGTATGATACCGCGGCTAATCGTTCTCCCGCATCCTTCGATAACGAACTCGTTTTGGCTTTATTTTCTCAAGTTTAGTTCTCTTTCTTTAAGCGGTACATGTAGAGAAAAAATTCGTGCAGGTGCACCAGCACTCATGCTTCTTGTTAATATATTATTAGCAACGTGATTTTTCGATTTTTTGGAAAAATTAGATGCCCTTATGATATTGTGTGCGAAAAAAGTGTGCCAGTGCACGCATTGTTTGATTTTTTTAATTAATTCTTGTTATTCAGTAGAGGGTAAATATTATAATTCGTATAGTTATAGACATTTCACAATATCTACAGATTATACGAACATTTCCTTCAGCTTTTTAGTTGTAGGAGGTTACAGGAAAATGAAAAAATCAATGATTTTCCAACCCCTACCACTATAGAGCTTTGGAGATTTCTATAACGTTTACAAACAGCTACAGTAGGTGTCGCTAAGGGGCTCATTTCGAGAATAAAATCGTTTTCGTTTATTTAAGAAAAAAATCTAATTAGCAAAGTGCTTTTACTTTCATTAAACAATTAGATTAAAAAAATGCACGTACAGCTAAATGTAGTAGGTATTTTATTAACGTTAACATTAATTTATTAAAAGCTGAGATAGCGCTTGAAAAGGGCTTTAATTAATAATCCGGAATTTTTCCATTTAAGTTGCGATGCAGTAAATTTATGTTAATGCCGCCCTAAACCTACGTGTGTAATGCACCAGTATACTAACAATGGCCTTTATTAAATAAAAGTTGCGAGCTACTTTTCCCTGGGCCTTCCTCTTCCTGCCGTCAAAAGCTCAAATTTCTTGTTTGATTCAAACACAAAGCTTCTTAAAGCATGCAACTTCCGCCCATTATATCCACCTTGGATGACAAAAGAGCTTTCCCCCCCGCTAAAACTATCGACCATTATTAATTCAACGGCAGACAGACAAACAATTTTCTTGAAAAGTTTCTGTATGTTCAAAGTTATAATTAGAAACTAATTAAGTTTTCTGGACTGGGCATTGCTGCAAGTCGGTTCACTCGCTCCTACCGTCTTATTTGCAAATTGAAATTTACTGATATTTTCTATAATGTACCTCTGCACATTATAAGGTAATTATGCATGGCCGGCTCAATTTATTTGACTAATTATACAAGAAGTTTTAATGAATGTATAACTCCGCACGTTAAATTTAAAAGTTATTCAGTGGCGTTGGTTACGTCATTAGATATAATGCGTAGCTTTGAAATTCTGCTTACATTTCCCAAATTCGGAGCATAGCAATTATTTTTCGATTTCAGGAGGTGGTATTTATCAAGTAAAACAAGGTATATCCTAAAAAGAAACGTGTTAACCAAATAAGGAATTCTCCTTTTGTATTTTTTCTGAAAATTGACTGAAAACCTTATTTTATAAATTGCTTGGTAACAACATTAAGCACCAAATTACGATGTCTCTATTAAAGGCAAACTCGGTAATGAAAGCGAACGAATTTACAACCTCATTTTACAGGTTTTCTATTGTAATTCAGCTTTCACTATGATTTTTAAACTAACTAGATCATTTTTTGTGGCCACGGTTTTTTTAACTAACCTTAATTGACACTCAAACAAAATACAGTAAATTTTTTTCTATAAAAAATTAAACGCAGCTTATAAATATTAATATTGAACCCAATTAACTTGGAGCCCTTTTGAAAAAAATGAGTTGTGACAATTTCTATCTCAAGAGCTTACCAAAATATACGCAATACCAACGGCCTTAAATTGAATAGAGATCGCTATCTTTAAGAACATTCAATTTCAAATTTTACTTGTTTATGATTTACGACTGTTTTGTTTTAAATATGTACAACCCTTAATTTAACATAAATGGAATCACAGCCATCGTGCCCTACAGATTTTAAAAGGGATAATCACCCCGCCTAAAGAATACAAGAGAAACTTAACAATGAATACATTGAATGAACTGGAACACCCTTTATAATTTTGACTTTCTATAATTTTCAATTTAAAAGAGCGTCGTGTATATGAATGTTTGTAGGACCCTGAGCATACAATTTATTATTTCCTTCTTCAGATCTTGTTTTCTTGAATCATAAAATGTTGTGATTTTACATGCCTATTAAGAATGCAACTGCCACTCGTTCAACTTTTTTTAGAGGCCTTATTCTGGATCTAAGATCCGCAAAAATATACTGCGCAACATTTCGGCTCTTGAAGTTTTTTTGTAAAAATTCATCCTTGCATTTAAATTTAAACGTTATTGTTAACTTTGTGAAAAGGAAAATGGAAATAGAAATCATTTTATCCCTTCCAAAAATTCTGTTTTCAACGTTAAAGCCGTTAATTTAAATTTTCTGATATAAAAATACTGTTCAACATTAATCTTCCGAGAGAAAGAATTACGATCATGAAGATAGTGCGGAAAAATTAGATGAAACAATCGACTGAATACACCTTTTCATCGTTATTTTTCTGAGACAATGAATTTTTCTAAAACATACACTGAGCAATGCCCTAATATGCAAAGTGGTTCAGCATATACTGCAGTACCCATAAAACATTACCATGTTCTTCTCAAGTTTCCTTGAAATTCATATCAAATTCTTCTCAAAGTTCCAGGATTTTCTAAGAACCATAGTTTCGTCGAATTTCCCTTGTGTTTCCTTCTATACTCTCGTAAGTTCCGCTGAAATTCATCATTCTCAAATTGACCTGGAATTCTATTCGATCGTTTCAACTTCCCCTGTGTCAGCGAAATTGTTCTCAAGTTCCAAGTTTCTCCGACAATCTAGTTTTCTTGACCTCCCATTATGTTTCCTTCAACATTCCAATAAGTTTCCCTCAAATTCCTTTCAAAACTTCTCAGGTTGTGAAATCCCTTTCCAATTCCCCCTTTTGCTTTCTGAAATTCCTCATAAACCGCTCTCAATGCCTTCCAGTTGATCCTTTACTTCCCATGACATTCTTCTCAGGTTTCCGCTAAGTTCTTCTCATTTTTTTGCACCTTTGTAATGGTTTAACTTCGAATATGACTATCAAAACAGTGTGGTTAATTTTTGAGCATATTTGGCGATGGAAAAATGCTTAAGAATTGGTGAAAATTAGCAAAGTTTTGCTGATAGCCATCCTTAAGCGAGTTTTCAGTCTAATGTTAACTTCTTTGGCTAATTTGGACTACGTTGCCGTAAATGTGTTCATCGTATTGATTGTATTTCAGAGAAACGTTGGATAATAATTGAAAAGGATTGTCGAAGTACAAACATTAAACTTGCGTAGAGAACTGATTCGCGAATAATTTGTTAATTAAATAAAGAAAATGGAAATTGAGTCACAATCACTTTAACAGTTTGTAATTGTTTACTCAATTAAAATGCAATTTCAAAACTGATCATGATTTCGCTCCATTTGAGTCCTTCACTTGTTATTCTCTAATGGAACCAACATTTTAGGGGATAGTATTGGAAAGTAGATGTTAGAGTGAACTTTTGCTACACCAGCTAAATCGTCTTGTTTTTGCTAGTTTTCTTCCGAAATTTACAAGATTTCTAAGGTGGTCGGCTTTGAACTTGGAAACCATCTATTTATACAAGTTCTAGAGTAATTTGTAAAAAACTCTCGGCAAGAATTGAAACTTTAAAAGTGAAACTGGAAGTTGTATGAACACAGAAAGGAATTTCTTATCAAAAGATTTATCCTGCGTATCTTTTAACTAATTAGATTTTCCAAAAATCTGCGGATTTCGCTACTTTAGATTTCTAAACACGAAAAGGAGGCCGAAAGGAAATAAATTTCGTACATTAGTCGATCATAAAGAAATCAGTTTACTGTAAACGTGTATTTGACAAGAAGCAGAGATCATTTGCATACACTTTGCATTAACAATTCCAATTAGGGAAACCGAAATTGGTTGTAAACAAAAAAAGGGGGACATCGTCTCGGCGTAGAAACGATAATCGCGATCTCGATTTTAGACCGCCGAATACTATATATAAAATCGTTTTCAAGTAACCCGAGCTTGCAGCTAACGGGGGGAACTTAATCGAGATAAAAACTCCCAAACTCCGAGGATCCAGAGCCACTTGCCTGCAGTTTAGAACAAGATAATTAAAATATACTTAACTGCTCTACAAAAAGTTTGCCCTCTGATGGAATTTTAACGCATTTTCTCAATTACCGAACCAACGTTGTCTTTGTCTCAATTAATTCATCGCAAAATTATTATTTGGAAACTTGGAGAACCGATTATGGCGTATTAAACTTCTTTGGCTGGTCGATTTTTATGTTGCCTCAAAATCGCTTGTGAATTTCGATCTTATGATACTTTTCAGCTGTGTATATGTTGACATATTGACAGCTAAACTTTCAACTATCGTTTTTATTAAAATTTTGTTTTAATATTTTAAGTATAAACCAAATCTTAATTGCAGTTAAAAAGCTCAGTCAGTTTTTGATTTATCTATATAGGATACGTATTACTTACACATACACGTATCTACAATGTAGTCCCAGAAAATGTACCTACAA